CAAAGCGGGCCCACAGCCCGCTTGGAGAAACGTTGATCTAGAATCACAGAACACTAGAACTGGAAGGGTCCTCAATAGATCATCAAGTCCAGTCCCCTGTCCTCAAGGCAGGATCTAGCACCATCTAGGTTGTATTTCCCTAGTTTATTGATAAGAAGGTCACAAGAGACCTTATCAAATGCTTTGCTAAAGTCTAGGTACAACATCTACCACTTCCCAATTATCCACAGAACTTGTTACCATATGAAAGAAAGCTCTCAGGTTGGCCTTACCAATGTTGGAAAAAACGTGCGTTCTTTCCATTTTCTTTCGAAAGAATGCCTTTTTCCAAAAAAACCCTTGTAGTCTAGATGCACCCAAAGCGGGCCCACAGCCCGCTTGGAGAAACGTTGATCTAGAATCACAGAACACTAGAACTGGAAGGGTCCTCAATAGATCATCAAGTCCAGTCCCCTGTCCTCAAGGCAGGATCTAGCACCATCTAGGTTGTATTTCCCTAGTTTATTGATAAGAAGGTCACAAGAGACCTTATCAAATGCTTTGCTAAAGTCTAGGTACAACATCTACCACTTCCCAATTATCCACAGAACTTGTTACCATATGAAAGAAAGCTCTCAGGTTGGCTTGCAATGATTTGTTCTTTACAAATCCATGCTGGCTGTTATCTATCACCTTATTATCTTCCAGATGTTTGCGGATGAATTCCTTAATTACTTGCTCCATTAGCTTTTCCTGCACAGAAGTTAAGCTGATTGGTCTTTAGTTTCCTGGGTTGTTCTTATTTCCCTTTTTATATATGGGCACTAGATTTGCCCTTTTCCTGTCTTCTGGAATCTCTCCTGTGGCAGGGTCAGTCCCACTCCTGGGCCCCTGACTGGCCCACTGTCCCACAGTTTAGGAGTCCCAGTATAAGACTTGTTTGCCTGGTTTTGGTGTTTGTCCCTCTGTCGTCTCCCTGCCACCTTTAGCAGGGCCGATGCTGTTCTGCCTGGCTCCTCCAGTCTCCTTATCAGTTGTCTTCATCTCCAAACCCTTCCTTCGCTTGCCAAACTTCTCTCTCAACTCCAAACTCCTTCTCAGCTTCCCCCCCCCCCCCAAGGTTTTTAAAAAGGCTTTGTCTGCAGCCCTAATCAGCTTCACCTGGCCCTTAATTGATTTGCAGCCCTGTCTCAGCTGCCCCTAATTAGCCAGGATTGCTGCTGTTCCCTCTGCAAGAGCTGCCTCTTTTCCCTTCCACCAAGCCCTTTAACCTGCTCTGTCACACTCCCGAATCCAATGGTGACAGCAATGGCTCCTCTATCAGCTACTTGAGTATTCTAGGGTGCATTTCATCAGGCCCACGTGACTTGAAGATGTTGAACATTTCTAAACAATTTTTAACTTGTTCTTTTCCTATTTTAATTTCTTGAGCCTGCTTCTTTTTCTCCAGCAGTTACTATTTTAGGCATCCAATCACCACCAACCTCTTGGTGAAAACAAACACAAAGAAATCGTTAAGCACCTCTGCCATTTCCAAGTTTTCCGTTATTGTTTCTCCCTCTTCACTGAGCAATGGGCCTGCCCTGTCCTTGGGCTTCCTCTTGCTTCTAATATAGCTCTAGAATGTTTTCTTGTTAGCTTTTATGTCTAGTTAGACTGAACCCATTTTGTGCCTTCACTTTCCTAATCTTGCCCCTACATACTTGTTGTTTGCTTCTATTCATCGTTTATAATTTGACCTACTTTCCACTTTATATACGACACCTTTTTGATTTTTAGATCATTTAAGATCTCCTGGTTAAGCTAAGGGGGTCTCTTGCCAGACTCTCTCTCTTTTCTATGCAGTGGAATCGTTTGCTCTTGCTCCCTTAATAATGTCCTTTTGAAAAACTATTAACTGTCTCAGTCTTGCTTCCCATGGGACCTTATCTACCAGCTCTCAGAATTTACTTGACTGCCTGGGCTTATCAGTTAATCTAGTCAACTACTGGCATCCCCCATCCTTGCTGCTCCTTGCTGTGTCAGAGGCAGCAAGGGCGGGGGGAGCAGAGCTGGTGTTGGGGGGTGCTGGCTTAAAAGCTGGTTCCCCCCAGCATCGTCTCCGTGGTGCTGCCAGTCCTCCCCCGCCTCACCTCGCGCTGCTGCCTCTATTGGGGAGGGGAGGCTGCCACAAAGCAGCCTCTGTCCATGAGGAGCTCAGATCCCCGTGGACAGGGGCTGCTGCCACCTCACACTGCTGCCTCTGTATCAGAGGCAGCAGCACAGAGTGACAGGCAGCTGGTCTGCACAAAGAGCTGGTTTTTAAACTGGTTCCCACCGTGCACCGGCTTCTGCCTGGCACCCCACACTGTTGCCTCTGATACAGGTGCTCCCCGGGAGTGGAGCCAAAGCACACTGGCCGCCAGCCCTGCCCTTAGGGACTTCCACCTCACACTGCTGCCTCTGTATCAGAGGCAGCAGCACAGAGTGACAGGCAGCTGGTCTGCACAAAGAGCTGGTTTTTAAACTGGTTCCCACCGTGCACCGGCTTCTGCCTGGCACCCCACACTGTTGCCTCTGATACAGGTGCTCCCCGGGAGTGGAGCCAAAGCACACTGGCCGCCAGCCCTGCCCTTAGGGACTTTAGGATAGTTGACTAACTGCTAAGAATTCATGCGATTAGTTGACTACTCTATTGCCCGACAGCTAAATCCTGAAATCCATTGTCTTTATTTTGCTGTTCTCCCTTCTGCCATTTAGAACCATGGTTTCCAACATGCTAGCCACTCCATGTGGCCAGTTGAGTGTGGCTAGTGGGTTTGAACAATGTGACTATTTTGCCGGTTGAGTGTGGCTAGCTCACTATAGCAGAGTAACAGCAGCTACTGCTTCAGAATTGGTTGCACACCCCGGCCTTACAATCAGGAACTCTGTGATTTCATGATCACTTTCACCCAAGCTGCCTTCCGCTTTCAAATTCTCAACCAGTTCCTCCCTAATTGTTAAAATCAAATCTAGAACAGCTTCCCTCCAGTAGCTTTTTCAACCTTCTAAAATAAAAAATTGTTTCCAATGCAATCCAAGAACTTGTAGAATGACTTGTGCCCTGCTGTGTTAGCATTCTCAGACAGATTGACAGACTGTGCTATTGCATCTTACCACAATGCATTCATTTGAAAACCTCACTCTGTTGGAAGCACTTCCCGTAGGTTATTAATATCCGGAGCTATTAATATTGTAATAGCACCCAAAGGCACCAGTCAGGACTGAAGCCACATTATACTGGCTGCTGAACATACACAAGATGACAATCCCTGCCCAGAAGGTCTTATAATCTTCCAACCTATTCTAACACCAGACAAGTTCAAAACAAACTCAACAGCAGCATCCCTGATGTCTGAATAACATTATAAGGGGGAGCCAGGTGCTTACAGACAAGATGTTAATCATCAGACAACATGTGGTAGGAAAACAAGAGAGGTAGAAGGTAGGCATACCCTTTACTACAGAAAGAGTACAATGAAAAAACACCAGCTACAGATCAAAGTTATATGCAAACATGAGTTACTACAAAAGCTTTTCATTATTTTTAAGCTGGGTGATGGAGACAACATGACCAACATGGCAAGGACAGAAGATAGTAGAGAAAGGGAAAATGAGAAGTGATGTGGGAAGAAATAAGGAGACGCCAGATAGAGACTATAAAAATCCAGAGATGGAAAAAAGAGCCTGCTGAAAAACCACCCAGAGCGCGAGCACCTGACTTGACCCACTTGACACAAACCAAAAGGATCAAAAAGTTCACCCAGTGAGCAGAGCCTCATCCCAGAACAGATACAAATAGTTCCAAAGATCAATTAGTTTAGGCAATAGAATTAAGGATCCCATATCCACAAAATAAATAAAATCTAAAAATTGCCAACTCAGAAGTCGTAGATTAGACCCACGAACTTTGTTCTTGTCCCCACTGATAATCCCAAACCATAGAGAGGGTCTGTAAATAGTTACACATTGACCCTGTAGTATGCTGAAGGCTCTAGGGCAGGGGTGGGCAAAGGGGCCTCCGCGGGCCACACCTGGCCCACAAGCAGGTGGATCCAGGCCACAAACACCCTGCCACACCCATGCCCGCAGGCCAATAAGTGGGGGCGGGAGGGACACGCAAAGTTTCTTGCTCCCTACCCCCACCCTGCAAGCGTTGCACCCTCCTTGGAGTACATGAGGTCTCCTCCTGCCCTGCAAGGGGCACACAGCACTTTCACTCTAATACGTCTACACTGGCGTGATCTTGCACAAAAGCTCGTTAGCGCAAGAGTTCTTGAGTTAAAGTAGCTGCACAAGAGAGCATCTACACTAGCATGTGTTTTTGCACAAGAGCATCCTTGCCAGCGTAGACGCTGTCTTGCACAAGAAAGCTCCGATGGCCATTTTAACCATAAGGCTTTCTTGCGCAAGAAAGTCATGTTGCCTGTCTGCACTGGCCTCTTGCGCAAGAACATTTGTGCAAAAGGGCTTATTCCTGAGCGGGAGTGTCAGAGTTCTGGTGCAAGAAGCCCTGATTTCACACATTAGAACATTAGTTTACTTGCGCAAGAACACGCGGCCAGTGTAGACAGGCAGCAAGTTTTTGCGCAAGAGCGGCTGGTTTTTTCAAAATAACAGCCTAAGTGCTGTGCATCCCTTGCAGGGTGGGGGCAGGGTGCGAGACTTCACATGCTCCCCCCGCTCTCAGGCCCTGACTGGGGGAGTTCGTGAAGTCTCCTCCTGCCAAGCAGGGTCTGCAGGAGGGAGAACATGGTAGTGTCCTGGCCCCTCCCCTTCCACCAGAGACCCCGCCCTTCCAGGGCAGCCTGTGGCCACTTCAAAAATTAGTGAAGCACCCTCCCCCCCCTTCTAAAATTATTGCCCACCCTTGCTCTAGGGTTTATTCCCATCACCCCACCACCATCAAACGAGAAACACACAAACTCAAAACCATATCCCCATGTCACAAGTACTGCATAGGCATTTAAAGAGGTATTAGCAAGAGCTCCTGTACTTACTTGTGTCCTCCCATCTGAGAAGGTGCAGCTTCCACGCTGAGTAATAAAGAAATCCAAGTACCAGAAAGAGACAAAGGGCCAGCAGCAGGTTACGCATGAACACCAACACTCCCATCTTCATACAAACTCCGCTCTTCTACATGTCCTGGAAGAGAAAAGCCATTGGAACCGTCCAGCTTGCTGTTCATTCAGAGCAAGTGCAATACAAACATGATGCTGTCAAGAAGCAAGTCAGTGTTCTGATCAGTGTAAAACAAGTTATCCAAATCTGCCGCCAGAGAAACTCTCACTGCTGTTCTAAATAAACCTCCAGGCTCAGTCAGTAACTGCCATTCTGAAAAGCCACTGCGACACTCCAGAATAACAAGAAGCCCACTCACTTCCAATTCCCTGTGTGCGTGTAGCCACCTGACCTCATAGAACACAGTCCCAGCCTATCACAGCCAAGGAGACTCTGAAACAAGCTTCTTCCAAGGGAAACAGCCTGGACGTTGTCAGTAGCAAGAGGTAACATTCAGCGAATGCAGTCACTCCTGAGAACCAATACGGTGTGTGGAATTACAGATGTTGTTTCCCTCAACTACCCCTGTACTCTCATTGCAGGGTTCTTAATCAGCAAAGCAGAAGAAAACTCACTTGTGTTCTTACATTTTACATCTACTGCTCTCACCAGCAGGAGACAGCACAAAACACCGTTTCCTGAGTTCAGCCGAGTCACCCTCAAAGGTGTCAGTTAACACTGTATGACAGACTGCACTACACCAACATGCTAGTTAAAAGAATAGAAAAACTTGAAGTAACTGGTGGACTGAAGGGTTTAGATTGTTGGGTCACACATTCACCCGACATTGTTTGGGTCCTTAAGGAGGGACTCAGGGCAAAGTGCTGGGAGCATGGGGGGTGCCACATTTGGGGAGGGGACTGTGTTTGTGCACACACGGGGCAGCTGGTCCTGGAACCTACAAGAGGAGGGGAAATTCTTGATTTAGTCCCAAATGGAACGCAGGACCTGGTCCAAGAGGTGAAAATAGCAGGACTACTTGGTAAAGTGACCATAATAGGATTAAATTTAACATCCCTGTGGTGGGAAAAACACCACAGCAGCCCAAAGCTGCACCCTTTTATTTCAGAAAGGGGAGCTACACAAAAATGAGGTTAAACAGAAATGAAAGTGTAGAGTGCCAAAAGTGAAACCTCCGCAAGCTGCATGGAAGCTTTTCAAAGTCACCATAGTGGTAGCTCAACTTAAATGTACACCTCCACATTAAAAATATAGTAAAAAAACTAAAATAGTGCCACTGCAGCTTAACAATCAAATAAAAGAAGCAACGAAGGATAAAGAGATATCATTTAAGAAGTGAAAGTTAAATCCTAGTGAGGAAAATAAAAAGGAGCATAAATGCTGTCAGATGAAGTGTAAAAATATAAGGAAGGCAAAAAGGAATGTGAAGATCAGCTAGCCAAATCTCAGAAAAGTAACAGCAATTTTTTTAAAAAATACATTAGAAGCAGGAAACTTGCTAAACAATCAGTGGAGCCAGGGAAAACTGAGATGCTAAACAAGCACTCAAGGACAATTTGATCATTGCGGAGAAACTACATGACTTCTTTGCATCAGTCTTCCTGGCTCAGCACGAGGGAAATTCCCAAACCTGAGCCATTCTTTTTAGATGGGAGCCCGCACTGGCACTCCAGCCCCCCTGCCAGTCCCCTGGGAGATGGAGCGCACAAAATCTACTAGGCTGGACCCCCACTAGGCTCTGGTGTGCGAGGGGAGTGTGGGGAGGGTCTTTCTCCTTGTCAGTCGGGGGCCACAGTGAGGGCTTTTTCCACTTCTCACTTGTGCGTGGCCCTCAATGTATTTTTCTGTGGGTCAATAGTCCCCAGCCCAAAAAAGGTTCCCCATCCCTGCTTTAAATCATCTTCTGTACCAAATGACTGGAAGATAGCTAACATGAAGCCAATTTTTAAAAAGGGCTCTTGAGGTGGTCCTGGCAATTACAGGCCAATAAGTCTAACTTCAGTACCAGGCAAGTTGGTTGACACTATAATAAATTGTCAGAAACATGGATGAACTTAATTTTGAGGGGGGAAGTCAACATGGTTTTTGTAAAGGGAAAACGTATCAGATCCAATGGATATAACAGACAAAGATTTCCAGAAAGCCTTTGACAAGATAAGATCCCTTGCCAAAGACTCTTAAGCAAAGTAAGCTGTCATGGGATAAGAGGGAAGGTCCTCTGATAACTGGTTAAAAAGTAGGAAACAAGGGTAGGAATAAACAGTCAGTTTTCAGACTGATGAGAACTAACTAGTGGTGTCCTCCAGGGGTCCATGCTGGGACCAATACTATTTAACATGCTCATAAATCATCTGAAGAAAGAGGTAAACAGGGAGGTAGCAACATTTGCAGATGTTACAGAACTGCTCAAGATAGTTAAGTCCAAAGCAGACTGTGAAAAGCTTCAAAAAGATCTCACAAAATTAGGCAACTGGACAACAAAAATGGCAAATGAACGTTAATTTTGATAAATGCAAAGTAATGCATGTTGGAAAACATAATCCCAATTATATGTACAAAATGATGAGGACTAAATTCGTTATTACAACTCAGAGAGATCTCGGAGTCATTGTGGATAGTTCTCTCAAAACATCCACTCAATATGCAGCAGCAGTCAAAAAAAAGCAAACAAAAAGTTGGGAACAATTGAGAAATGGAGAGAGAATAAATCAGAAAATATCTTATTGCTTCTATATCAATCCATGGTATGTCCACATCTTGATTACTGAGTACAGGCGGTCCCCGAGTTACGCGGATCCGACTTATGTCGGATCCGCACTTACGAACGGGGCTTTCTCGCCCCGGAGCTCGCAGGCAGCGGGACCGCCCAGAGCGCAGCGGTCCCGCCACCTCGACCTCTGGGGCGAGAAAAGCTGCTCCGGGTGCCCCTGGTCTGCTGGGGACCGTCTCCAGCAGACCAGGGACACCTGGAGCAAAGCCGGGGGGGCGGAGGAAACTGATCAGTTTCAGCAACGGCTGAATCTGGACACCAGTTCCGACTTACATACAGATTCAACTTAAGAACAAACCTACAGTCCCTATCTTGTATGTAACCCGGGGACTGCCTGTACAGATGTGGTTGCCTCATCTCAAAACAGATATCTTGGCATTGGAGAAGGTTCAGAAGAGGGCAATAAAAATTAGAGATATGGAACAGCTGCTATATAAGGAGAGATGAATAAGACTGGGACTTTTCAGTATGGAAAAGAGATGACTAAGGGGGGGATATGATAGAGGTCTATAAAATCATGGCTAGCGTGGACAGTAAATATGGAAAAGTTATTTACTTGTTCCTATAAGACAAGAATTAGTGGCTACCCAGTAAAATTAATAGGCAGCAGGTTTTAAAACACAAAAGGAAGTATTTCTTCACACAATGCACAGGTCAACCTCTGGAACTTCTTGCCAGAGAATGCTGTGAAACCCAATATATAGTTTTTTTTAACACTGTTATAAGAAGTTCATGGAGGATAAGTCCATCATGGCTATTATCCAAGATGGACAGGAACAGTGTCCCTAGCCTCTGTTTGGGCAACAGGGGTAAGATGACAATGATTCCTTGTTCTGTTCATTCCCTCTGAGGCACCTGTCATTGTCAAAAAACAGGATACTGGACTGTGTGCTGAGTGAAGAAAAACTTCCTTTTGTTTGTTTTAAACCTGCTGCCTATTCCTTTCATTGGGTGACCCCTAGTTCTTATATTGTGGGAATAAGTAAATAACTTTTCTTTACAGGCAGTCCCCGGGTTACGTACAAGATAGGGACTGTAGGTTTGTTCTTAAGTTGAATTTGTATGTAAGTCAGAACTGGCGTCCAGATTCAGCCGCTGTTGAAACTGACCAGCAGCGGCTGAATCGGACATGCCTGGGGCAGAGCAGCTGGGGTGCTGCTGGGTTGGTCTGGTAGCGCCGACCCTTGGCACCGTGGGACCAACCCTGCAGCATCCCAGCTGCTCTGCCCCAGGCGTTCCCAAGTCAGCAGCTGCTGAAATTGACCAGCGCTGACTACAGGAAGGCCCCGGGAGGGGTGCTCTTCCCCCCGCGTCCTC